AAACCCTAAAACCTAAACCCTAAACCCTATACCTAAAACCCTAAACCCTAAACCCTAAACCCTAAATCTAAACCCTGAACCCTAAACAGTAAATAATAAACCGTATGTTGTAAACCCTAAACCCTAAACCATAAACCATAAACCCTAAACCCTAAACCCTAAACCCTAAACCCTAAACCCTAAACTCTAAACAAAAGGAGAGAAATAAACAAATAGAAGGAGACATATAAAGGAGACAGATAAACAAATAAAATAATATTAGTAAACAAACAAAAGGAGACAGATAAAGGGAGATACATAAACAAACAAAAGGAGACAGGGGAAAGGAGACAACATACAAAACAAAAGGAGACAGAAAAAAAACAAAAGGAGACAGAAAAAGAAATAAGCAGAGCTAACAAAAGGAGACAGAAGAACAAACAAAAGGAGACAAAAAAGAAAAAAAAAGAAAAAAAGAAAAAAAGAAAAAGAAAGAGAAAAAACAGACAAAAAGAAAGAAAAAAAGAAGACAGAAAAAGAACAAAGGAGACAAAAAAGAAAAATAAAAAAAGAAAAAAAAAAAAATAAAAAAATAAAAAAAGGAGACAGTTGCTCTCACTGCTGGCACTCTGGCTTGCCGAAGAGAAAAACTATTTCTTTGTTGGGTTGCGGCGGAGACAAAATTTTATCTGCTGCTGCTGCTGCTGCTGCTGCTGCTGCTGCTGCTGCTGCTGCTGCTGCGTCTTCTGCTGCTGTCTCCGAAGCGCAGCAGCAGCAGCAGCAGCAGAGAGGAACTATAACTAAACAACAAAAAACAAAAAAAAACAAAAATATTAATATATATATATAATATAATAAATATAAAATATAATATACAACAGCACACAATACACCATACATAACACCCTAAACCCTAAACCTAAACGCTAAACCCTAAACCCTAAACCCTAAACCCTAAACCCTGAGTCAGTGAGTGAGATTGGTAGATTTAGTACTTACTCAGCAGCAAAAAGGAGAGACATTTGGCCCCCCTTAAACAAAACGTTGTTGCTGCTGTTGCTGCTGTTGCTGCTGCTGCTGCAGCAGCAGAAGAAACCGCAGCAGCAGCAGCAGCAGCAACAGCAGCAACAGCAGCAGCAGCAGCAGCAGGTGCTGCTGCCACAGTATGCGATGGCCGCATCAGAGAGGAATCAGCTGCTGGA